GGGAAGATCCGAAGGGAGGGCGATGTGATTCTCACCTTTGGATGGTCTGAACTCGTGCTGGAGGTGAGTCTGCCTTTGAGTCGACTCAAGAAAAGCTGGTGTTCGCCGGGCAGGAGGTGGTGCGGCATGCAGCAGGGAAGATCCGAAACGAGGGCGATGTGATTCTCACCTTTGGATGGTCTGAACTCGTGCTGGAGGTGAGTCTGCCTTTGAGTCGACTCAAGAAAAGCTGGTGTTCGCCGGGCAGGAGGTGGTGCGCCATGCAGCAGGGAAGATCCGAAGGGAGGGCGATGTGATTCTCACCTTTGGATGGTCTGAACTCGTGCTGGAGGTGAGTCTGCCTTTGAGTCGACTCAAGAAAAGCTGGTGTTCGCCGGGCAGGAGGTGGTGCGCCATGCAGCAGGGAAGATCCGAAAGGAGGGCGATGTGATTCTCACCTTTGGATGGTCTGAACTCGTGCTGGAGGTGAGTCTGCCTTTGAGTCGACTCAAGAAAAGCTGGTGTTCGCCGGGCAGGAGGTGGTGCGCCATGCAGCAGGGAAGATCCGAAAGGAGGGCGATGTGATTCTCACCTTTGGATGGTCTGAACTCGTGCTGGAGGTGAGTCTGCCTTTGAGTCGACTCAAGAAAAGCTGGTGTTCGCCGGGCAGGAGGTGGTGCGGCATGCAGCAGGGAAGATCCGACAGGAGGGCGATGTGATTCTCACCTTTGGATGGTCTGAACTCGTGCTGGAGGTGAGTCTGCCTTTGAGTCGACTCAAGAAAAGCTGGTGTTCGCCGGGCAGGAGGTGGTGCGCCATGCAGCAGGGAAGATCCGAAAGGAGGGCGATGTGATTCTCACCTTTGGATGGTCTGAACTCGTGCTGGAGGTGAGTCTGCCTTTGAGTCGACTCAAGAAAAGCTGGTGTTCGCCGGGCAGGAGGTGGTGCGCCATGCAGCAGGGAAGATCCGAAAGGAGGGCGATGTGATTCTCACCTTTGGATGGTCTGAACTCGTGCTGGAGGTGAGTCTGCCTTTGAGTCGACTCAAGAAAAGCTGGTGTTCGCCGGGCAGGAGGTGGTGCGCCATGCAGCAGGGAAGATCCGAAGGGAGGGCGATGTGATTCTCACCTTTGGATGGTCTGAACTCGTGCTGGAGGTGAGTCTGCCTTTGAGTCGACTCAAGAAAAGCTGGTGTTCGCCGGGCAGGAGGTGGTGCGCCATGCAGCAGGGAAGATCCGAAAGGAGGGCGATGTGATTCTCACCTTTGGATGGTCTGAACTCGTGCTGGAGGTGAGTCTGCCTTTGAGTCGACTCAAGAAAAGCTGGTGTTCGCCGGGCAGGAGGTGGTGCGGCATGCAGCAGGGAAGATCCGAAAGGAGGGCGATGTGATTCTCACCTTTGGATGGTCTGAACTCGTGCTGGAGGTGAGTCTGCCTTTGAGTCGACTCAAGAAAAGCTGGTGTTCGCCGGGCAGGAGGTGGTGCGCCATGCAGCAGGGAAGATCCGAAAGGAGGGCGATGTGATTCTCACCTTTGGATGGTCTGAACTCGTGCTGGAGGTGAGTCTGCCTTTGAGTCGACTCAAGAAAAGCTGGTGTTCGCCGGGCAGGAGGTGGTGCGCCATGCAGCAGGGAAGATCCGAAAGGAGGGCGATGTGATTCTCACCTTTGGATGGTCTGAACTCGTGCTGGAGGTGAGTCTGCCTTTGAGTCGACTCAAGAAAAGCTGGTGTTCGCCGGGCAGGAGGTGGTGCGGCATGCAGCAGGGAAGATCCGAAAGGAGGGCGATGTGATTCTCACCTTTGGATGGTCTGAACTCGTGCTGGAGGTGAGTCTGCCTTTGAGTCGACTCAAGAAAAGCTGGTGTTCGCCGGGCAGGAGGTGGTGCGGCATGCAGCAGGGAAGATCCGAAGGGAGGGCGATGTGATTCTCACCTTTGGATGGTCTGAACTCGTGCTGGAGGTGAGTCTGCCTTTGAGTCGACTCAAGAAAAGCTGGTGTTCGCCGGGCAGGAGGTGGTGCGCCATGCAGCAGGGAAGATCCGAAAGGAGGGCGATGTGATTCTCACCTTTGGATGGTCTGAACTCGTGCTGGAGGTGAGTCTGCCTTTGAGTCGACTCAAGAAAAGCTGGTGTTCGCCGGGCAGGAGGTGGTGCGGCATGCAGCAGGGAAGATCCGAAAGGAGGGCGATGTGATTCTCACCTTTGGATGGTCTGAACTCGTGCTGGAGGTGAGTCTGCCTTTGAGTCGACTCAAGAAAAGCTGGTGTTCGCCGGGCAGGAGGTGGTGCGGCATGCAGCAGGGAAGATCCGAAGGGAGGGCGATGTGATTCTCACCTTTGGATGGTCTGAACTCGTGCTGGAGGTGAGTCTGCCTTTGAGTCGACTCAAGAAAAGCTGGTGTTCGCCGGGCAGGAGGTGGTGCGCCATGCAGCAGGGAAGATCCGAAAGGAGGGCGATGTGATTCTCACCTTTGGATGGTCTGAACTCGTGCTGGAGGTGAGTCTGCCTTTGAGTCGACTCAAGAAAAGCTGGTGTTCGCCGGGCAGGAGGTGGTGCGCCATGCAGCAGGGAAGATCCGAAAGGAGGGCGATGTGATTCTCACCTTTGGATGGTCTGAACTCGTGCTGGAGGTGAGTCTGCCTTTGAGTCGACTCAAGAAAAGCTGGTGTTCGCCGGGCAGGAGGTGGTGCGCCATGCAGCAGGGAAGATCCGAAAGGAGGGCGATGTGATTCTCACCTTTGGATGGTCTGAACTCGTGCTGGAGGTGAGTCTGCCTTTGAGTCGACTCAAGAAAAGCTGGTGTTCGCCGGGCAGGAGGTGGTGCGCCATGCAGCAGGGAAGATCCGAAAGGAGGGCGATGTGATTCTCACCTTTGGATGGTCTGAACTCGTGCTGGAGGTGAGTCTGCCTTTGAGTCGACTCAAGAAAAGCTGGTGTTCGCCGGGCAGGAGGTGGTGCGCCATGCAGCAGGGAAGATCCGAAAGGAGGGCGATGTGATTCTCACCTTTGGATGGTCTGAACTCGTGCTGGAGGTGAGTCTGCCTTTGAGTCGACTCAACAAAAGCTGGTGTTCGCCGGGCAGGAGGTGGTGCGGCATGCAGCAGGGAAGATCCGAAAGGAGGGCGATGTGATTCTCACCTTTGGATGGTCTGAACTCGTGCTGGAGGTGAGTCTGCCTTTGAGTCGACTCAAGAAAAGCTGGTGTTCGCCGGGCAGGAGGTGGTGCGCCATGCAGCAGGGAAGATCCGAAAGGAGGGCGATGTGATTCTCACCTTTGGATGGTCTGAACTCGTGCTGGAGGTGAGTCTGCCTTTGAGTCGACTCAAGAAAAGCTGGTGTTCGCCGGGCAGGAGGTGGTGCGCCATGCAGCAGGGAAGATCCGAAAGGAGGGCGATGTGATTCTCACCTTTGGATGGTCTGAACTCGTGCTGGAGGTGAGTCTGCCTTTGAGTCGACTCAAGAAAAGCTGGTGTTCGCCGGGCAGGAGGTGGTGCGCCATGCAGCAGGGAAGATCCGAAAGGAGGGCGATGTGATTCTCACCTTTGGATGGTCTGAACTCGTGCTGGAGGTGAGTCTGCCTTTGAGTCGACTCAAGAAAAGCTGGTGTTCGCCGGGCAGGAGGTGGTGCGCCATGCAGCAGGGAAGATCCGAAAGGAGGGCGATGTGATTCTCACCTTTGGATGGTCTGAACCCGTGCTGGAGGTGAGTCTGCCTTTGAGTCGACTCAAGAAAAGCTGGTGTTCGCCGGGCAGGAGGTGGTGCGCCATGCAGCAGGGAAGATCCGAAAGGAGGGCGATGTGATTCTCACCTTTGGATGGTCTGAACTCGTGCTGGAGGTGAGTCTGCCTTTGAGTCGACTCAAGAAAAGCTGGTCGGCAGCGCGAGCAGGGCACAGGTTCAGAACCATAGTGGTGGACTCACGTGACTTTTGAGTCGCCTCAGAGCTCTACTTCTCTCCCCCGCCCTGCAGGTGCTGCTATCAGCGGCACGAGCAGGGCGCATGTTCAGAGCGATAGTGGTGGACTCAAGAATCGCCCCTTCCCTCCCTGCCCCCCCAATGCAGGTGCTGCTGTCGGCAGCGCGAGCGGGGCACAGGTTCAGAGCCATAGTGGTGGACTCACGTGACTTTTGAGTCGCCTCAGAGCTCTACTTCTCTCCCCCGCCCTGCAGGTGCTGCTATCAGCGGCACGAGCAGGGCGCAGGTTCAGAGCGATAGTGGTGGACTCAAGAATCGCCCCTTCCCTCCCTGCCCCCCCAATGCAGGTGCTGCTGTCGGCAGCGCGAGCGGGGCACAGGTTCAGAGCCATAGTGGTGGACTCACGTGACTTTTGAGTCGCCTCAGAGCTCTACTTCTCTCCCCCGCCCTGCAGGTGCTGCTATCAGCGGCACGAGCAGGGCGCAGGTTCAGAGCGATAGTGGTGGACTCAAGAATCGCCCCTTCCCTCCCTGCCCCCCCAATGCAGGTGCTGCTGTCGGCAGCGCGAGCGGGGCACAGGTTCAGAGCCATCGTGGTGGACTCAAGAATCGCCCCTTCCCCCCCTGCCCCCCCAATGCAGGTGCTGCTGTCGGCAGCGCGAGCGGGGCACAGGTTCAGAGCCATCGTGGTGGACTCAAGAATCGCCCCTCCCCCCCCTGCCCCCCCAATGCAGGTGCTGTTGTCAGCAGCGCGGGCAGGGCACAGGTTCAGAGCCATCGTGGTGGACTCAAGAATCGCCCCTCCCCCCCCTGCCCCCCCAATGCAGGTGCTGCTGTCAGCGGCACGAGCGGGGCACAGGTTCAGAGCCATCGTGGTGGACTCAAGAATCGCCCCTCCCCCCCCTGCCCCCCCAATGCAGGTGCTGTTGTCAGCAGCGCGGGCAGGGCACAGGTTCAGAGCCATCGTGGTGGACTCAAGAATCGCCCCTTCCCCCCCTGCCCCCCCAATGCAGGTGCTGTTGTCAGCAGCGCGGGCAGGGCACATGTTCAGAGCCATAGTGGTGGACTCAAGAATCGCCCCTTCCCCCCCTGCCCCCCCAATGCAGGTGCTGCTGTCGGCAGCGCGGGCGGGGCACAGGTTCAGAGCCATCGTGGTGGACTCACGGCCGCACCTGGAGGGCAAGGAGATGGTGCGCCGCCTGCTCGCGGGCGGCATCTCTTGTCTCTATCTAAGGCTCAACGCCGCATCGTACATCATGAAGGTGAGGCGGCGGCAAGTTGGCAGAGTTATGGCAGAGTACACTTAAATCGGAGTGGGTGTTGTTATAAGTGTTGAGTGGTACATCATCATAAGACTTTCTTTGCTCAGCATGTGTGACGAAGTGGTGTTCATTTTCCACTCCACTCGCCCATCCCTCTTCCTCCTCTCCCCCTCTTCTCACTCATCCCAACCTCTGCCCGCCACCCAATCAGGACGTGACACGTGTGTTCCTGGGGGCGGCAGCAGTGCTGGCGAACGGAGCAGCGTATGCGAGGGTGGGGACAGCAGCGGTGGCGATGATGGCGCATGCACAGCGCGTGCCGGTGCTGGTGTGCTGCGAGTCCAGCAAGTTCCATGAGCGCGTGCAGCTCGACTCCATCACCCACAACGAGATCGGTGCGTTGACCCTGTTGACTTGCGTTGACTCACGTTGACTTGCGTTGACTCACGTTGACTTGCGTTGACTCACGTTGACTTGCGTTGACTCACGTTGAGTTGCGTTGACTCACGTTGACTTGCATTGACTCACGTTGACTTGTGTTGACTCAAATCCTCTGCTGCACATTGCATCATCTACTCCTCACCCCATCTCCCACTCACCGCCGTCCCTCATCACTTGTTGGCCTCCCTCTGCTTCCCCACAGGCGATCCACAAGTGCTCATCAGCACGGGCGTCTCACCACTCTCACCAGTCTCACCGCTCCCATCGGACGCACCAGAAGCATCAGACGCGGCGGAGGTGCCACCGCTGCAGCACTGGCAGAGCACACCCAACCTGCGCCCCCTCAACATCCAGTAACCACCGCCCTTCTCGCACTGCCCCTCGCCCGTGTCCTCTTGCCACACTCCCTCTCCACGCCAATGATTGTGCTTTTACAATTTTGTGTTTGTGATCCTCGTCTTGACTCGCGAGCTCTTGCGTCTGTGTTTATATGTGTGATCTTGCATCCTCCTTGCATGTGTGGCTTACCTTGGCATGCGCAGGTTTGACCTCACTCCTGCAGACTACATCACGGGCATTGTCACCGAGATTGGTGTGGTGAGATGCTGCACATGCCATATGCCACATTCCACATGCCACACATGTCATATGCCACATGCCACATGCTCCATGTCATATGCCACATGCCACATGTACATACCACATGCACATGCAGCATCCATGCAAAGCACCCATAATCACATCGCATCCATCTTCTCATCCACCATTGCACCTTGCCTCCCCCATGCATGCCTGCGTGCCTACCAGGTGCCCACATCGAGCGTGCCTGTCATCCTGAGAGAGTGTCGCAACCAGCCCTTCTAGAGACTCCTGCGACTTTCTACGAACTGTGTATTTCCCGGCGAACCCCGGCAAGAGTCATCTCGTTATCCTGAGAGAGTGTCGCAACCAGCCATTCTAGGTGCCACCACGCACAGTAGCAGTTTAGTTGAGTTGGCCTTATTGACAAGGTTTCGTGAGTGTGATCTTATTGCAACGCACCTGCTTTGCCCAGAGACTGCAAACGTCTATCTGTATTTCTTTGCCTAGAGCATATGGGTGCTTGAATGGATAGCAGTCATTAAAGAGTATGGTGGTAAGACTGCCAAGAGGGTGGTAGTATCACCATGGTACTTTTCCCTGATACAATTTTTTTTCCTTATCAATGGGTCCCAAAGTATCAATGGAGTTGCTACCTTTCTGCAAATACAACATAAAGAAAAAACAACAGTATTTAGCGTTTTGCTGTTGTAAACCTGCTGTAATCGTCATACGGTCCTGCCGGGTCGCCATCAGGTTGCTGTCGTTTCTTGCCTGTCTTTGACGGCTATCCGCTTTCAAAAAGCGCAAGCTTGGCGTCGCTTCCGACTAACCCGGGTTCTAATCTTTATTCATTCTTCGCCAACGTCGCTCATGGCGTCGCTGCTGTCGTACGGAGCCGGCATCTTAGCCGGCGACATCGGCGCGAATCTGGAGGCCACGCTCGGCGTGCCAGGACCTCTGGCCGGCTGGAGCCACGTCAACCTGCCGGCGGAAGGCGACGACGAGCCTCGTCCCGCGGAGGGGGATTTTCTCAGCCTCGTCACGCGCGAGGACGATGACGTGGACGACGCTGACGTGGACATGCTCGACGGAGACGGCGTGTCGCGCAGGCCAGTTAGGCAACTTCTAGGAGTCGATTCTCCGTCCGGAAGTCCCGGGAGCGCGTCGGTCCATCTCCCGCAGACCGTCCTCCAGGTCATTGCCACGTCACTAGAAGCTGACGTGGTCGTCATGGCGGTTCTACTGCCTCCGCCAGGCCCCACAGTCGCGGATATGGCGCAGGCGGCGGACGAAGCCGCGGCTGCTGCAGGCGCTCCCCCCGCCCCTGCGCCTCTCTTCCCCGGCGCTGCTTTCTCCCCCGTTGCGCCCGCCTTCGGCGCGCATTCGCTTGGCGCGGAAGCCAGCGCGGACAGGTCCGGGGAGTTTGGCGCATGCGCCAGTAGCGGAGGGGATGTTAGCGGGTACGGGGAAAGCGGAGGGTTCTGCAGCCGGGAGGGCATGGGGAGGCGCAGCGGAGCGGGTTTTTTTGGGGGGGGGAGAGGCGGGGAAGAGGGCGCAGGGAGATGTGACAGCCGAGACGAGGGAGGCGGAAGGGGAGGGGGGAGGGGGAACGGGAGGGGGAACGGGAGGGGGAGCGCGCGGGGGAGCGGGGGGGAAATGGAGGTGGTGCGGGTGGCGGAGTCGATCCTATCGACGCCCAAGGGGGTTGTGCCGGAGATGGTTCCCTTCTGTAGGCGCATGATGAAGGCGTGCAAGCGACACAAGGTAATGATGAAGGCGTGCAAGCGACACAAGGTAATGATGAAGGCGTGCAAGCGACACAAGGTAATGATGAAGGCGTGCAAGCGACACAAGGTAATGATGAAGGCGTGCAAGCGACACAAGGTAATGATGAAGGCGTGCAAGCGACACAAGGTAATGATGAAGGCGTGCAAGCGACACAAGGTAATGATGAAGGCGTGCAAGCGACACAAGGTAATGATGAAGGCGTGCAAGCGACACAAGGTAATGATGAAGGCGTGCAAGCGACACAAGGTAATGATGAAGGCGTGCAAGCGACACAAGGTAATGATGAAGGCGTGCAAGCGACACAAGGTAATGATGAAGGCGTGCAAGCGACACAAGGTAATGATGAAGGCGTGCAAGCGACACAAGGTAATGATGAAGGCGTGCAAGCGACACAAGGTAATGATGAAGGCGTGCAAGCGACACAAGGTAATGATGAAGGCGTGCAAGCGACACAAGGTAATGATGAAGGCGTGCAAGCGACACAAGGTAATGATGAAGGCGTGCAAGCGACACAAGGTAATGATGAAGGCGTGCAAGCGACACAAGGTAATGATGAAGGCGTGCAAGCGACACAAGGTAATGATGAAGGCGTGCAAGCGACACAAGGTAATGATGAAGGCGTGCAAGCGACACAAGGTAATGATGAAGGCGTGCAAGCGACACAAGGTAATGATGAAGGCGTGCAAGCGACACAAGGTAATGATGAAGGCGTGCAAGCGACACAAGGTAATGATGAAGGCGTGCAAGCGACACAAGGTAATGATGAAGGCGTGCAAGCGACACAAGGTAATGATGAAGGCGTGCAAGCGACACAAGGTAATGATGAAGGCGTGCAAGCGACACAAGGTAATCATGCTTCTCATGCCACATCCCCTGCGTCCGTTCTCTCCCCCATAGCCCCGTCTTCCCCCCCTGCGTTCATTCCACTACACTCTTCCCCCTTCCCCCCAATGCCTTATCCGTGCGCACATACCTCCCCCCCCCAGGTGGTGAGCACGGCGGGGCTGCATCTGCCAGCAGTGATCGAGGATGTGCTGGGCTGCCGCCCCCGCCGCTTCATGGGCCGATTCGTGCGCCTGCACAGGTGCGTGCATGGCAAGAGTCGGGGTGCGTGCACAGGTGAGTGCGTGCCTATCATTGTGGCCCCAAGCAGATCACTAATCAAAAGTCCATTGATGACCATCCCGCCTGCCTCCATCCCCACTCGCTCTCCCCTCCCTCTCCCGTGGCCCCTTGCAGCTACCGCGGGGTGCTGTACGTGCTGTGGAGCGACCCGGCCAAGCTGCCATTTGAGATGTCTCAAGAGTTACATACCCCCTTTCCCCCTTCTCCCCCCCCACCCCCCTCCCCCCCCTCTCCCAGCTACCGCGGCGTGCTGTACGCGCTGTGGAGTGACCCCGCCAAGGTGCCAGCAACGGTGGAGGAGGTGATGGCACGCGCGGCGCACACGATGCCGCTGCTCATGGCCAACCGCATCTCCGCCCGCCAGTCCGCGCGCCTGGGGCAGCAGTTTGACGCCATCCTCAAGCGCATGCCGCAGGCCGTTGTCTTTGTTGACGATGAGCTCGCTCAGGTGGGTTGTGCGTGCATGTGTGCCCATTCCGTACTCATGCCCATGCATGGAGGAGATGCCCTTGGTGCGACTTTTGAGAATTCTCAAAAGTCGCACCGATATCGCACCAAAAGTCGCACCTTTTGAGAATTCTCAAAAGTCACACCAATATAGGTGGGTGCGTGCATGTGTGCCCATTCCGTGCTCATGCCCATGCATGGAGATGCCCTTGCTCGTGCGTGTTCTCCCCTCCATCGCTCCTCCCTGCCACCCTCCGCCATCTCTCTTTCTCGTTCCTCCCCCATCCCCACCAGGTGGTGGTGAACCCAGCAGCTGCCGACCTGTTGGATCTGCCGTGCTTCGGGGAGGTGGACCCAGTGAAGGTCGCAACTGCCATGCGCCAGCTCGCCGAGAGGAGCGGTAACCGCCCCGACCTGCACAGGCAAGTCACGGCACTGCACACCCTCCAGCATCCCCCTTTCATTCTTTTCTTTGAGACTGGATAACCTTTTCTCGCAACGCAATCCATCTGGTGTTTTCCCCTTGCGCTGCGAGTCGATTGGTCCAACCAACCCCTCACTTACCCACCCATTTTCCTTCAACCCCCTCCCCTCCCTGCCTCTCCACTCCCCCACTCCTTCACCCCTCACAGGTGGTTCAGCATGGTGGCAGGGGCGGTAGAGACGGAGATAGAGGAGGAGTGGGAGCTGCGCGATCCGCCCATGGTGCTGCGCGTGCACTCGTACCCCGTGGCAGCACACACCACCTCCGCGCACGGCCGCCTGTGGCTCTTTGAAGACGTCACTGCCGACCGCCGCGCCCGCCAGGCCATTGCTGCTGCCAACCGCGCCAAGTCGCAGTTCCTTGCTACCATGAGCCACGAGCTGCGCACTCCCATGACTGGTGGGTGGGTGCGTGTGTGGTGGGTACTGGTGTGAGAGTGAGTGGGTATGGATGTGTGGGTGTAAGTCAGTGCGTGGGTGTGGGTGTGGCGAGGCATCGCTGTTAAACTTCTTTCCTTCCCATCACCCCATGACTCCACACGTGCTCTTCTCCCCCCACCGCCGCACCCGCCCCCTCAACCACCCCCCACCGCCTCAGGCGTACTGGGCATGCTGGATCTGCTGCGGCTGACGGAGATGAATGAGGAGCAGCTTTGATACGTCTCAACACCCACCACCCTCGCTCACCTCCCCCCACCAACCCCCACCGCCCCCCACCACCTCAGGCGTGCTGGGCATGCTGGACCTGCTGCGGTTGACGGAGATGAGTGAGGAGCAGCACGGGGTGCTGAAGCTGATGCAGGCGTCAGCGGACGGGCTGATGACGGTGCTCAACAACATCCTCGACTTCTGCAAGATGGAGGCGGGCAGGCTGCTGCTCGAGTCCATCGACTTCAGCATTTCAGCCCTGTTGGACCAGGTGCGTGCCTGCTGGCGTGTGAGACATCTCAAGAGTAGTCAGGTGCCATGTTCTAGCCACCACACGGGCTGATGACGGTGCTGAACAACATCCTTGACTGCTGGATATCCACCCGAGGATGTCCACCCGAGGATATCCACCCGAGGATATCCACCCGAGGATATCCACCTAAGGATATCCACCCGAGGATACCCAGCGGCGTTCCTCCCCCACCCGGCTCCGTTCTTCCCCCACCCAGCTGCGTTCCTCCCCCACCCGGCTGCGTTCCTCCCCCACCCGGCTGCGTTCCTCCCCCACCCAGCTGCGTTCCTCCCCCACCCAGCTGCGTTCCTCCCCCACCCAGCTGCGTTCCTCCCCCACCCAGCTGCGTTCTTCCCCCACCCAACTGCGTTCTTCCCCCACCCAACTGCGTTCCTCCCCCACCCGGCTGCGTTCCTCCCCCACCCAACTGCGTTCCTCTCCCACCCAACTGCGTTCCTCCCCCACCCGGCTGCGTTCCTCCCCCACCCAACTGCGTTCCTCCCCCACCCAGCTGCGTTCCTCCCCCACCCAGCTGCGTTCTTCCCCCACCCAACTGCATTCCTCCCCCACCCAACTGCGTTCCTCCCCCACCCAACTGCGTTCCTCCCCCACCCAGCTGCGTTCTTCCCCCACCCAACTGCGTTCCTCCCCCACCCAACTGCGTTCCTCCCCCACCCAACAGCGTTCCTCCCCCACTCAACTGCGTTCCTCCCCCACCCAACTGCGTTCCTCCCCCACCCAACTGCGTTCTTCCCCCACCCAACTGCGTTCCTCCCCCACCCGGCTGCGTTCCTCCCCCACCCAACTGCATTCCCCCAACTGCGTTCCTCGCCCACCCAACTGCGTTCCTACCCCACCCAACTGCGTTCCTCCCCCATCCGGCTGCGTTCCTCCCCCACCCAGCTGCGTTCTTCCCCCACCCAACTGCGTTCCTCCCCCACCCAACTGCATTCCCCCAACTGCGTTCCTCGCCCACCCAACTGCGTTCCTCCCCCACCCAACTGCGTTCTTCCCCCACCCAACTGCGTTCCTCCCCCACCCGGCTGCGTTCCTCCCCCACCCAACTGCGTTCTTCCCCCACCCAACTGCGTTCCTCCCCCACCCGGCTGCGTTCCTCCCCCACCCAACTGCATTCCCCCAACTGCGTTCCTCGCCCACCCAACTGCGTTCCTACCCCACCCAACTGCGTTCCTCCCCCATCCGGCTGCGTTCCTCCCCCACCCAGCTGCGTTCTTCCCCCACCCAACTGCGTTCCTCCCCCACCCAACTGCATTCCCCCAACTGCGTTCCTCTCCCACCCAACTGCGTTCCTCTCCCACCCAACTGCGTTTCTCCCCCACCCAACTGCGTTTCTCCCCCACCCAACTGCGTTCCTCCCCCACCCTGCTGCGTTCTTCCCCCACCCGGCTGCGTTCCTCCCCCACCCAACTGCGTTCCTCCCCCACCCAACTGCGTTTCTCCCCCACCCAACTGCGTTTCTCCCCCACCCAACTGCGTTTCTCCCCCACCCAACTGCGTTCCTCCCCCACCCAACTGCGTTCCTCCCCCACCCAACTGCGTTCCTCCCCCACCCAATTGCGTTCCTCCCCCACCCAACTGCGTTCCTCCCCCACCCAACTGCGTTCCTCCCCCACCCAACTGCGTTCCTCCCCCACCCAATTGCGTTCCTCCCCCACCCAACTGCGTTCCTCCCCCACCCAGCTGCGTTCCTCCCCCACCCAGCTGCGTTCCTCTCCCACCCAATTGCGTTCCTCCCCCACCCAACTGCGTTCTTCCCCCACCCAACTGCGTTCCTCCCCCACCCAACTGCGTTCCTCCCCCACCCAACAGCGTTCCTCCCCCACTCAACTGCGTTCCTCCCCCACCCAACTGCGTTCCTCCCCCACCCAACTGCGTTCTTCCCCCACCCAACTGCGTTCCTCCCCCACCCGGCTGCGTTCCTCCCCCACCCAACTGCATTCCCCCAACTGCGTTCCTCGCCCACCCAACTGCGTTCCTACCCCACCCAACTGCGTTCCTCCCCCATCCGGCTGCGTTCCTCCCCCACCCAGCTGCGTTCTTCCCCCACCCAACTGCGTTCCTCCCCCACCCAACTGCATTCCCCCAACTGCGTTCCTCGCCCACCCAACTGCGTTCCTCCCCCACCCAACTGCGTTCTTCCCCCACCCAACTGCGTTCCTCCCCCACCCGGCTGCGTTCCTCCCCCACCCAACTGCGTTCTTCCCCCACCCAACTGCGTTCCTCCCCCACCCGGCTGCGTTCCTCCCCCACCCAACTGCATTCCCCCAACTGCGTTCCTCGCCCACCCAACTGCGTTCCTACCCCACCCAACTGCGTTCCTCCCCAATCCGGCTGCGTTCCTCCCCCACCCAGCTGCGTTCTTCCCCCACCCAACTGCGTTCCTCCCCCACCCAACTGCATTCCCCCAACTGCGTTCCTCTCCCACCCAACTGCGTTCCTCTCCCACCCAACTGCGTTTCTCCCCCACCCAACTGCGTTTCTCCCCCACCCAACTGCGTTCCTCCCCCACCCTGCTGCGTTCTTCCCCCACCCGGCTGCGTTCCTCCCCCACCCAACTGCGTTCCTCCCCCACCCAACTGCGTTTCTCCCCCACCCAACTGCGTTTCTCCCCCACCCAACTGCGTTTCTCCCCCACCCAACTGCGTTCCTCCCCCACCCAACTGCGTTCCTCCCCCACCCAACTGCGTTCCTCCCCCACCCAATTGCGTTCCTCCCCCACCCAACTGCGTTCCTCCCCCACCCAACTGCGTTCCTCCCCCACCCAACTGCGTTCCTCCCCCACCCAATTGCGTTCCTCCCCCACCCAACTGCGTTCCTCCCCCACCCAGCTGCGTTCCTCCCCCACCCAGCTGCGTTCCTCTCCCACCCAATTGCGTTCCTCCCCCACCCAACTGCGTTCTTCCCCCACCCAACTGCGTTCCTCCCCCACCCAGCTGCGTTCCTCCCCCACCCAGCTGCGTTCCTCCCCCACACGGCTGCGTTCCTCCCCCACCCAACTGCGTTCCTCCCCCACCCAACTGCGTTCCTCCCCCACCCAGCTGCGTCTCTGGATGCAGGTGGCGGTGCGTTCTGTACCGGCAGAGCAGTGCAAGGGCATGCGTCTGGTTGCCCTGAGTCCCGGAGTGCCCTAAGTCTCGTACCTCACCTGATCACACTTCTCTCCCGCATCCCGTCCCATGCATGCAGGTGGTGGTGCTGTTCGAGCAGGCGGTGCAGGACAAGGGCATGCGCCTGCTCATCCACCCACCGCCCCCCGATGCTCTCTACGTCTGTGGCGACCCTGTGCGCGTCAAGCAGGTGGGTTGGGCGCGCAGGTGGGTTGGACACGCAGGTGGTCCTCCTCCTCCCTTAGAGTGTCCACAGCCTGTCCCGTCGCAGTTACAGTTACAGCCGGCCTCCCCACTGCCTGCTCCGTCTCCCTACACTGGTCCTACTGGAGGTCTTGCTGAGCGTCGTGAGCCTGCGTCTCGCCCTGCGTCGCCTGTCCGTGCTGCTCGCACTAGTGGTCGCGGTTCGCGTCAGCGTCCTCCTCCTGTCCCTGGCACGCACCGGATGTCTCTGCGTCCGTCCACTGCTCCTCTGCGTGCCCCTTTACCTTCTCCTCCTGAGTCTTCTCTTCCTACTCTTGCCGACCCGGAGTCGGACTCTCTTCGCGCTGCCAGTCCTACTGTCACGCGTCTCCTTGCTACGGTTGTCACTGACCCTTCCTTTGAGTCCACTGCTGCGTCTGCTCTAGTTGCTGAGCTCGTCGACTTTGCTGCTCGCTGTCGCCTAGACTACGTCGCCAGTCTTGTTGCTGAGTCTGAGTCTGTCTGTCCTCCGTCCGTCGGGGGTGAGTGTGCCCTTGGCACGGACGTCCTTGAGGACAGGCAGGAGGAGTTCCAGTGCTTGGCCGCTGCTTCACCTCATCTCGTGTCCGTACTGCTTACCCCTGAGGGAGACCCGGATGCACTTGACATCCCGACTCCGCGCTCTTACGCGGAGGCGATAGAGGGTCCCTACTCCTCTCAGTGGCAGGCAGCTATGGACGAAGAGATGGCTTCCTGGAAGTCCACAGGCACCTACGTTGACGCTGTTCCCCCTCCTGGGGCGAACATCGTCAGTGGCATGTGGATTTTCAGGGTGAAGCGACCGCCGGGTTCTCCGCCTGTCTTCAAGGCGCATTACGTGGCTCGTGGCTTCAGTCAGCGGCAGGGAGTTGACTACTTTCAGACCTTCTCTCCCACCCCGAAGATGACCACTCTTCGGGTACTGCTGCACGTAGCTGCTCACCGTGACTACGAGCTACACTCTCTTGACTTCAGCACTGCTTTCTTGCAGGGCAGCCTGCACGAGGAGATCTGGCTGCGTCGCCCACCTGGCTTCACTGGGTCTTTTCCTCCTGGCACCCAGTGGAGCCTACGGCGGCCAGTCTACGGTCTCCGCCAGGCACCGCGTGAGTGGCACGACACACTGAGGACTACACTTGCAGCTCTTGGGTTTGCTCCCTCTACTGCCGACCCGTCGCTGTTTCTGCGCACCGACACTTCTTTGCCGCCGTTCTACATCCTCGTGTACGTCGACGACTTGGTCTTTGCCACAGCTGACACTGCTGGACTAGCCCACGTGAAGTCCGAGCTGCAGAAGAGACACAAGTGCACAGACCTGGGTGAACTGCGCAGCTACCTTGGCTTGCAGATCACTCGGGACAGAGCACGCCGCACCATTACCCTGACTCAGTCACACATGGTGCAGCAGGTCCTTCAGCGCTTCGGCTTCACGTACTCCTCGCCTCAGGCCACTCCTCTGCCTACTCGCCACTCGCTCTCAGCTCTGCCTTCGGATGAGTCCGTAGAGTCGAGTGGCCCGTACCCAGAGCTTGTTGGCTGCCTCATGTACCTGATGACCTGCACACGACCTGACCTTGCATACCCTCTTAGCATTCTTGCACGCTATGTTGCTCCTGGGAGACACAGACCGGAGCACATGGCTGCAGCGAAGAGGGTGTTGCGCTACTTGTGCAGTACGTCGGGCATGGGGCTTGTGCTTGGAGGGCAGAGTCCAGTGGTCCTTACTGGGCACGCAGACGCTTCTTGGGCTGACGACCAGGCTACGCAGCGGTCGTCACAGGGTTACACCTTCAGCCTTGGTTCCGGCTCTGTTTCGTGGCGGGCTACTCGCTCGTCTTCTGTTCTCGGCTCCAGTTGTGAGGCTGAGATCTACGCAGGAGCCATGGCTGCACAGGAGCTTCGCTGGCTCACCTACCTGCTGACTGACCTCGGAGAGTTGCCTCGTTCTCCTCCAGTGCTGTACGTAGACAACAAGGCCATGCTGGCCTTGTGTCGGGAGCAGCGACTGGAGCACAGAACGAAGCACATTGCTCTCCGCTACTTTCTTGCTCGTGAGCTGCAGCAGCGTGGTCAGCTGCGTCTTGCGTACGTGGCCTCTGAGGCCAACACTGCTGATATCTTCACCAAGGCACTTGCGCCTTGTGACCATCAGCGCTTCTGTACTCAGCTTGGCCTTGTGCCTACCTTGCCTCACTTGCTCACCTCTTGACCTTGCTAGTACTGTTACATATATATATACCTGCTCTTGTTTGTCTAGCCTTTTTTTTTTATATATATGTGTACTCCTGCTTGTGAACTGGCCTTGTGGCCTTGAACTTGTGCTCGGAATGTGTGGTGACTTTGTGATCCACCCTGAGCTTGTTTTTGCTTTGCTTTGCTTGACTGGTCTTGTGACCCCTTGTTCTCCCCCACTTTGCCTATGGGGGTGTGTCAGATTTATATGACATAGCTACTGTAGGCTATAGTGGGGTAGCACATATGGGGTACAGTTTTCTAGGGTTTGCCTCTTGTACCCAACTTTCACTTAGTCATTTCATTCCTCGTTTCTTCTCAATATAGACATTCCAGTCGTACATGGTACCTGCACAACAGGCGCGCATACCGAACAAACTGACCAACGCAATACGTATGTTTGTAAAGATGCAGTTAGTGCCATATTCTTGCTAGTCCACTAGATTAGGCCTTCTGCTTCAATAACACTTGGTTATAACCTTTCCGATCCACATAGTTTGGGAGATTTCAGAGTTCCAGTTCCGCCTTGTACCTACACACAAGCGTACATACTGACCTTATCGGCCGACGCATTATTCTCTCTGTACAAATACAGTGAATACCATATGTATTCCCATTTCCTTTAAATTGTATCATTCCCCATCACCCTACTATGTTTTAACCTACCGGGTCTATGTAATTTGGCAGATATAGACATTCCAGTCGTACATGGTACCTGCACTACAGGCGCGCATACCGACCAAACTGACCAGCACAATACGTATGTTCGTAGAGATGCATTTAGTGCCAGATTCTTGCCAGCCCACTAGATTAGGCCTTCTACTTCAACAACACTTGGTTATAACCTTTCCGATCCACATAGTTTGGGAGATTTCAGAGTTCCAGTTCCGCCTTGTACCTACACACAAGCGTGCATACTGACCTTATCAGCCGACGCATTATTCTCTCTGTACAAATACAGTGAATACTATATGTATTCCCATTTCTTTTCAATTATATCATTCCCCACCCCCCTACTATATTTTAACCTATCGGATCTATGTAATTTGGCTGATATAGACATTCCAGTCGTACATGGTACCTGCACAACAGGCGCGCATACCGACCAAACTGACCAGCGCAATACGTATGTTTGTAGAGATGCAGTTAGTGCCATATTCTTGCCAATCCACTAGATTAGGCCTTCTACTTCAACAACACTTGGTTATAACCTTTCCAATCCACATAGTTTGGGAGATTTCAGAGTTCCAGTTCCACCTTGTACCTACACACAAGCGTGCATACTGACCTTACCAGCCGACGCATTATTCTCTCTGTACAAATACAGTGAATACCATATGTATTCCCATTTCATTTAAATTATATCATTCCCCACCCCCCCACCATGTTTTAACCTATCATATCTATATAATTTGACAGATATAGACATTCCAGTCGTACATGGTACCTGCTCTACAGGCGCGCATACCGACCAAAGTGACCAGCGCAATACGTATGCTTGTAGAGATGCAGTTAGTGCCATATTCTTGCCAGTCCACTAGATTAGGCCTTCTACTTCAACAACACTTGGTTATAACTTTTCCGATCCACATAGTTTGGGAGATTTCAGAGTTCCAGTTCCGCCTTGTACCTACACACAAGCGTGCATACTGACCTTACTGGCCGACGCATCATCTCTCTGTACAAATACTGTGAATACCATATGTATTCCCATTTCTTTTAATTTATATCATTCCCCACCCCCATACCATGTTGTAACCTATCGGATCTATGTAAGTTGGCAGATATAGACATTCCAGTCGTACATGGTATCTGCATTACAGGCGCGCATACCGACCAAACTGACCAGCGCAATATGTATGTTTGTAGAGATGCAGTTAGTGCCATATTCTTGTCAGTCCACTAGATTAGGCCTTCTACTTCAACAAAACTTGGTTATAACCTTTCCGATCCACATAGTTTGGGAGATTTCAGAGTTCCAGTTCCGCCTTGTACCTACACACAAGCGTGCATACTGACCTTACCGGCCGACGCATTATTATCTCTGTACAAATACAGTGAATACCATATGTATTCCCATTTTTTTAAAATTATATCATTCCCCACCCCCCTACTATGTTTTAACCTATCGGATCTATGTAATTTGGCAGATATAGACATTCCAGTTGTACATGGTACCTGCACAACAGGCGCGCATACCGAACAAACTGACCAACGCAATACGTATGTTTGTAAAGATGCAGTTAGTGCCATATTCTTGCCAGTCCACTAGATTAGGCCTTCTACTTCAATAACACTTGGTTATAACCTTTCCGATCCACATAGTTTGGGAGATTTCAGAGTTCCAGTTCCGCCTTGTACCTACACACAAGCGTGCATACTGACCTTATCGGCCGACGCATTATTCTCTCTGTACAAATACAGTGAATACCATATGTATTCCCATTTCCTTTAAATTATATCATTCCCCATCCTCCTACTATGTTTTAACCTACCGGGTCTATGTAAATTGGCAGATATAGACATTCCAGTCGTACATGGTACCTGCACTACAGGCGCGCATACCGACCAAACTGACCAGCACAATACGTATGTTCGTAGAGATGCATTTAGTGCCAGATTCTTGCCAGCCCACTAGATTAGGCCTTCTACTTCAACAACACTTGGTTATAACCTTTCTGATCCACATAGTTTGGGAGATTTCAAAGTTCCAGTTCCGCGTTGTACCTACACACAAGCGTGCATACTGAACTTACCGGGCGACGCATCATCTCTCTGTACAAATACAGTG